GGCAGACGTCGGGGCCGGGCTGCGAGGACTGAGCTCCCAGCTGGCCCTGCGGCGCCACAGCGACGGGCGGGAGCCCCGCGTGGCTGAGGCAGCAGCTATCTTGGCGGGCACACTGTGGCGGGGGCGGGGCGAGGGCCTGAGCCTGGGAGCTGCTCTGTGTGGCTGGGACCGGGGTGGCCCAGCCCTGTGGTATGTGGCGGATGATGGCACGCGGCTGGCCATGGCAGCTGTGGCCGTAGGCTCGGGCTCGCCCTATGCCTACGGGGTGCTGGACGGGGCATACCGCGAGGACCTGGCACTCGGCCCTGCTGTAGCATTGGCCCGGCGTGCCGTGGCCCAGGCTGCGCGGCGTGACGCCTACTCCGGCGGCACTGTGGATGTGGTGCATGTGGGGCCCTGTGGCTGGCGCTGGGTGGCCCACGCTGACCTGGCGCACCTGGCTTGGGGGCCAGGGATGCCCGAGGACCAGAAGGAGGAGAAGGAGGAAGGGACCGGCGATCAAAGCAGCGGGACAGGGACAAGCGGCATGTAGAACTGAGCGCCAGCGTGGACCAGTAGAAACCAGTATAGGCCAGCCTTGAGTATAACTAACCAGCTTGGACCAGCATAACCCAGCACGGAGCATGACTAACCAGCATGGACCAATATAAATCAGTATAATTCAGCATGGAGCAGAACTAATCAACGTGGCCAGTATAGCCTAGCACAGAGCATGACTAACCAGCTTGTACCAGTATAGCCCAGCATGGAACACAACTAACCAGCTTGGACCAATATAAACCAGTATATTTCAGCATGGGGCATGGATAACCAGCATGGACTGGTACAAACCAATATAGCCAGCAAGGAGCACAACTAACCATAACAGACTAATGTAAACCAGTATAAACTAGTGTAACCCAGCTTGGAGGATCTCTAACCAGCTGGTACAGTGCAAACCAATATAATCCATTTTGGAGTCTTAGTAATTAGCTTGGACTAGCAAAGACCAGTATAACTCATCACAGAGTGTGACTAACCAGTGTGGACCAGTATAATCTAGAACAGAGGACTAATTATTTCCATGGACCAGTATAAACCAGCATAACCCAGCATGGAACTTCTCGAATCTGCCTGAACCAGTATAACCCAGCACGAAGTACTGCTGACCAGTGTTGTCCTGTATAATTCAGCAGATAACATCAGCAGCCCAAGGTATCCAGTACAAACCAGTACAATCCAGTATGAAGCATGACTCACCAGCCTGCACCAGTACCAACCAGCAAATTACAGCACAGAGACTAACCCTCTGAGGCCAGTATAACCAGTGTGGAATGTCACCAGCTTCAACCAGCAAGAACCAATTTATCCAACATGAGATGTCACTAACCAGTTTGGACAAGTACAAAGCAGTATAATCCAGAATTGACCCTTACTGACCCACTTGGACTACTATAAACCAATAGAGAATTTTAACAACCAACTTGGACCAGTGCAAACCAGTACACACCAGTATGGAACATAGCTAACTAGCATGGACAAGTATACACCAGAGTGGAACACCACTACCCAGCAGGCACCAGTACATAGCAGGATGGAGCATCACTACGCAGCACGGGCCAGTACAAATCAATACATACCAGTATGGAGCATCAGTAATCAGTGTGGGCCACTGCAAACCAGTACAGACCAGAATGGAGTATCAGTATGCAGAAGGAACCAGTGCAAAACAGTACACACCAGCATGGAGCATTGCTAACCGGCAGGGGCCAGGAAAGACCAGTAAGTACCAGTATGGAGCAACAGTAACCAGTGTGGGCCAGTACAAATCATTACACACCAGCGTGGAACCTTGCTAACCAGCATGGACCAGTGCAATCCAGTACACACTGGCAGAGAACTTTACAAACTAACATGAACCAGTGCAGCCCAGCACCATTGCTAGATCCTCGCAGGCCACCCATGTCCCCCCTCATTGTCATTCCCGGGGCACCTTGGCCCGGTGGGGGGGAGCCGGGTCCCGCCTCTTCTCATTTGCATATAAATTACACTGGGAACAAAGACACCTCAGCCGGAAAAGTCATTACTGCCCCGATCTGCCCACCCCAAGGAACCCAGTCGTCCAGGGCTCCCTCCCTCCCCAGACCCCACTTCTCTGCTGGAGCTGCGGGGAGAACCAGGGGTCCAGGCTCCCAGCCTCCCCAGCTCTAACCCACCCTGCTCCCAGGGCAGGTGTCCCCACTGCCCTCCCAGTCCCACCTCCCCTCTCCTCTCCAAGAACTGGGAGAGAACCCAGGAGTCCGGGCTCCCAGGCCCCATCACTTTCCCGCTCCCCTCCTAGAGCGGGGAGACAACCCAGGTGTCCGGACGCCGAGGTCCTCAGCCCCCATCCCCTTCCCAGAGCGGGAGAGAACCCAGGCATCCAGCCCCCGATTTACAAAATAAAGTGTTTATTACGAAATTATAACATGATCCCGCCCTCCCCCATGGATGGGATGTCTCACCCCTCCCCCTGCCTCCTGGGTCTCTGGGGGGAGGAGCAGAACCTGGAAAGGGGTGTAGCCTGTTTGGTGGAGCAGGGCCTGGGCAGGGGGATGGCCCACGTGGCCAGGCCAGGAGGCAGAGCAGAGATTTCGGGTGCGTGGCTTCTTTCAGGTGATCTGTGCAAATGTAGCCAGGGAGGGGGCGTGGCCAGCAGAAGGGCATGGCCTGTCCCATGTGGTCTGTGGGGGATCTGTGGCCTGGAGGGTGGGGCCTGGTGGCAGTGTACTGTTATGGGGGAGCAGCTTGGCCTGGGTGTGGGGCATGGCCTCGGTGAATGACGGGCAGAGCGGGGGTGTGGTCTGTGGCAAAGCCGTGGCTGTTTGGTGCAATTAGGAGTTTGGTGGGACCTGTTGCATGTGGTCAGGTGATGCTGTGGCCTGGTTGAGTGTAGTCAGGTGGCACGCTGATTGGCTTGGCCAGAAACTGGGTGTGGCCTTAGGAGCACAGCCATCCAGATGATGGATGTGGCATACTTCAGGTGACCAGATGATAAGCATGGCCTTGTGGGCATGCCCTGCCATGTGTGGCCTGGTGGGCATGGCCTGCCAGATTTGGCCAGACAATGGGTGTGGCCTTATGTGCATGGCCTCTCCAGAGTAGCCAGGCAATGGACGTGGCCCAGTGGCTACAGCCTGCTTAGTGTGGACAGGTGCTGAGCATGGCCCAGTGGACATGCCCTATTCAGTGTGGTCAGGCACTGGGTGTGGCCTGAGGGGCATGGCCCATCTGGTGGGCCAGAGGATGGGCGTGGCCTCTCAGGTGTGGTCAGACAATGTGCATGGCCTGGTGGGCGTGGCCTGTCTGAGGTGGCCAGGCAATGGGCGTGGCCTGACAGATGCAGTCAGACAATGGGCGTGGCCTGTCTGAGGTGGCCAGACGATGGACATGACCTAGCAGTGGGCATGACCTGCTCGGTGTGGTCAGACACTGGGTGTGGCCTGGCCCGTGGCGGCCATTAGGGGCGGGTGCCCCC